AATGGACAGGTCGATCTCTGATTTTATGCGAAATACCCTGGTGTCAGTAGATTTCCTTGCTTTTATCTGACAGTTATCAGTCCAAAGAAACGCCCACTGTTTCTTTTTTTTTTGAGAACAAGTGCTTTAGCAAAAAGCTTCTTGTTATCCGGTGAGAGGTGATCATTAACAAAGACAGCATGGGTGCCCTCTCCAGAAAAACCAAGCTTGACTTGGTTTGACCCGTGCTTGACCCGTGCTTGACCCTTCTTTACAACTCCGGCCTCCAGCCAGCCTACATCGACGTGAAGCCTCGCTTCTCTATCACCTTTGGCTGGGAGTTGCTTTCACGACAGCGTATACCACGTTAATCGGAATGACTAAGAGTGCGGCGAGCGATGTTTGTGGCACCGATGAAAATATCGAACACCTGCTGTGCCACTGTCCTCGATTTGCCTCAGACAGACAAGTACTTGGCAATGCAGTGCGGCGACTGGATGATTGGCCTCTTTCTGTGCAGGTGCTATTGCAGCAACGTCCACATCCCTCGACAGCCCACAAGGCAGTGAAAGCCCTGCTTTGTTTCCTGAGAAAGACGGGCTTGTGTCAACGCTTCTGACATGCGGTGGAGTTCTACGCACTGCAGTGAAATTACTGTCAGTCTCTCTCTCTCTTTTTGCTTTTCCCTCTCTTCCCTCTTTCTCATCCTTTTTGCCCCCTTCCCTAATCCCCCAGTGTAGGGTAGCCAACCGCATGTCTTTCTGGTTAACCACCCTGCATTCCCCCTTTTGTTGTTTCCTTCCTTTCTTCTGCTTGTTCAGCATTTTCTAAAAAATTCGGCAAGGTTTTCCTCTACTTGGGCTTACGACTGCAGTGACCATGAATTTATTTACTGTGTCCAAGACCACATGAACCTTCTCCGGCACGGTGTTCTGCTGGGCAGCCAGAAACTTCAGTTTCCTCTAGCACAGCCATGCTTAGTTAGCGGAAATTTGCAGTTTTGCTTCAATAAGCGTTACTTCGTCATTTTATTCTTTTTCCTGATGCAGTACTTCTCTCTGTAGTCAACGTCACTGTTCGTCACGTGGTAATGAAGCAACGTTGTAAGCGTAAAATCATGGTTTTTGTGATTAGCAGTGGTTGTGTACGCCGTTGGCCGATATTATCGCAAATACCGCCATAAAATGGTAGTACTTGCGCTGCTGCTTTACCTGTGTACCTGATCAGTAAGACTTTGGGCGCATTGGGTTGTATAAAGGATTATGTTTGTAGAATGTTTGCGTGTCGCACTGACTTTTTGAAAACAAGATCACATCAACATAAGGTTTGAAAGGCTTAGGTAATGAACTTGAAGGAAAGTGTGTACACCTGAATGATGCACATAATTGGTTTTTTAAAGAGGTACTTTATGGTGTGCACTTTCTGTTGTCATAAAGATGAGCGCTCCAACCTGTTAGTTCTCAATTAATTTGGTCCCGATTCCTTGATAAAACTGGTGCACGGCCAAAGCAGGTGAAGAGCCAAACTCGGTGCAGTGTTGCACTAAATACGACTATTCTTCTGGCTCTAGATTTTTGATGCTCTTGAAATCACTTATTTTCCCATCAGCGAGTTTGAACAGTGTAATACACGACAGCCAGACTTCTCGAAACGTTGGTTCCATGATGACACTCTCTACTGAATAATTTGTCCAAGACCCATTTTTGTTTTCTTGACATGCACAATCCTGCTTCCTCGTGTCCACCCACATGTCCCAGTGCCCGCTTTGTTACATACTATGTAGTGGAGGATCAATTCTCTTTAAACATGGGCATAAAAGCCTATCGAAATGTTCCTTTGAAACAATTCCCGATTCTCCTCGGCATAGGCAGTGCGATGAGCTTATTAATAAATTGACACCGATGGGATCTGCAAATAAACTTGCTCCATTTCCTGAAGAAAGTTTAAAAGCACTTAGCTAAAGTTCGCGTACCGACGGAATTGCAATCACAACTATGAAGTTCTGGTCAAAGGCTCTTCTTTTATAAATCACACAGATCAATGGCTTTGTTGGCACTGAAGTTCATTTTATCAGAACAGGTGTCTATACTTGTGGACGTTGTCAGTACGCTTGATGATTGCTGCTTCAGAGGTCATGCCAGTTCGTTGAGAACTTCTTTCCTGTCATGCGTTTTTCCCGTTTTGACTTAGTCGTTTTATAATATTTGACGTCTTAAGTGAACTTGAGCTATAAAAGACGCCGAAGTGAAGGGCTCTATAAGATAAAAACTTTTATCCAGTGAACTATCGTGGCGTCCAGAGCTACAGATGGAAAGGAAAAATAAGTACAAAAGAGCTAAGCTTTTTAATTTTATCATGTAGTTCTCCGGGAACTGTTCTTCCCGTGGAAGTTATGACTCAAGCAGACCATTAAAATTACAATGTTTTCGTTCGTAACTGAACAACCTTGTATTGCGAAAATAACTACAAGACAAATGACACCTTTTCCCAGCCACTAAATATGAGATCGCGTTTCGCTTGAGTGATCTAAATGGCAGTGTTCAACACCTATTTCTCGAAGAAACTTAGCACTGATGGCCTATGGCAGCCTACTAATGCAAGAGTTTATGTTACGCCAATTATAATTATGTCTATGGCAGGCACCGAACCCGTTGCTATTATTTTGTGGCCTGAACACATGCCTTCGGGTAATGGTTGGTTTGGGCATTTTGGAGACGAAAAAAAAAATATGAAGTCAAGGGGCAAACGCGGCGTCGTCGACTCACAACTTACGAAATATGTAACTGTTATACGAAAAACTCATCCACAGTTTTAGTCGTGCGAACGTCTAGCACATTTAACCTTAATGAGAGTTACCATAAAGTCAAACCAAGAAAAATATTGGGGATGTTATTTTTATAGCAATATTGAAAATAAATAAAAAGGAACTAAAGTGGACGAAAAACAACTTGCCGCCACAGCCAGCTGAGCCTGCAACCTTGGAATAACGAGTTCTATGCTCTACTCATTGAGGTACAGCGGCCTTGATCCTTCATCCACTTTACCGGGTATATCTTGGCATTGAAATCTGGCACAGCTAATCGGCGCCACTTGTAGCCATGACTACGAGTGAGGATTACTCCTTTTCAGCCTCCAGTTATGACGTGGCACATAACTTATCGCAAAAAACTTGTGAAAACACTTGCACTAAGTCACGCAAACTTTCTACAGAGAACCTAGCGGGCAGTTTTGAGTGGTTCTTGGTAGCTTTGCTATCTAGCAAATAGGTTCTGCTATGTGGGTGAGAAGCGAGGGAAAATTGACCATCGTCCGTGGGCTGAGCGTCATGGGACTTACTGCCGTCTTTCGGCATTTTTCTGCCTGCCTTGATATCTATTATTTCCTTCTATGTCATTTCCTTTCTCTCTTTTTCTCCGTTTTCACGTTCTTTTCTTTTTATGTATAGCTATATTTCTCTGCCTCGCTTGCTTCCTTTTAATGCTTATCTTTCTTTCAAGTGTCTCTATTCTTTCTCTCCATTTCTCTATTTTTGATTCTTCACATCATATGACTTATCCCTTCGTTATGTCCTTCACCTCTCTTCTTCCCCCCTCTTTTCTTTTCTACCTCTTGCTGTATGATGATCTACAAGGCTATGCTGTGTTGCATGTGCGTGCCTGAAAGCCAGAGGATAAGACCATCGCGTTTGGATGGTGGGTTCAAATTCCATCGCCTGTTCAGGAAGATATTTTTACGAACATTTTCTCTCTCTTTTTCTATGTCTTGCTTTTTCTCATTCTCTTTGTCCTGCTTACTCCACCCATTCGTAAACATTTTAGCGACGTATCTTTTTAAAAATTTTCACTTAATTTAGAAAAAAATTCAAGGCGTTTACCATAAGGTATCATAACATAACCTTTCGTTTCTTGCTTATAAATGAATGGCATTGTAAAAATTCGCGTGTCTTCTAAATGTATTATACACAATGATACAACTTTGATTCTCACCGCTGAATATTATAGAAAAACCTAATTAGTTACATGAATCAGGCTTCCGGTGCAATTTTCCGCATGGACATGCATGAACTATATAAAATAAGCACATAAAAAAGTTGAATATTTCAGGCATAAAAGTGAACAAACCCCTTGTCACGTGCCATTAAAACTTTGTAGCTACGAACTTTAGATAGTCCGCCTACATGTCTATGTGAACAAGTTTCGACGAACACATGTCTTGGAATGCTCATACTGAAAGGCCATCTGGCACTGTATCAAGCATCTAGGGCATTTTATCCTAAGTTAGTTTTTCGCTACCTAAGGCAGTCAAAGTTCTTTTCTATAAATTCTTGTTTTGCTGCGACAGCTTCTTCATTTGACTTCGATCCTCGGTTTGACATTACCGCCTAAATTCGTTGTTTCAGAAGTTCAGTAACTTTCGACCGATTCTTCCAAATGGGGCCTTTAGCCATCCAGCAGCTATGGTAGAGCTATTGATAAAGTATCAAATAAACGTAACATATCTCTTATTTTTTAGGAATCTCTACTAATTACCAGAACCATCCCTTCTATGTTGTCCTCCACTGCAATAATTCTGTATAATAAAGACATTCTTTATGGCAGTGCGTATACAACTCTAGAGCTACGGTTGAAACACTTATGTTACTGACCGTGTGACGTGATGTTACGAAGTCCACGAAACGCATTTCGATGTAATTGAATATTTCGAAATAACCTTTACTATTTATTGATAATAACACTCTTCTAATACTTTACTGTTCAAGTATTACGCAAAGGGTTATCGTGAAGAAAATTAGCATTATAAAGCAGCAGAGCTTTTCAATCATGAACCTTTTATTAGGGGGGGGGGGGGCTTTGCAGAATGACACCAGTGACTAACATGAGTCGCTGCTCAAAAAAAGGCTGCATTTATAGTGTCAGTTTGCTATGTGCACCCCATGTACTAGTATTTTTTTATAGTTCAGTTTAGCCTTTGCCGCTATATAAATAAGGCTACTATCGTACGAGTCCCATAAGCTTCTTCATTCACACAGCTATAGAGTACACGGAGATATGTTCTCGGCATGGGTGCTGGCGCTCATGCTTGCAGCTTGCCGGTCAACTGGTGAGACCACTGCTCAGAGGGGAAATGTAGGAAGCAACGTTGATATAAAACAGGTATTCGTTTTTACTTCTTACGTAGGCAGGCAGAATAACACGATATCGCAAATGTTACTGTGATTTAAGTTACGCTCCTCTAACACCGTATAAAAGGTCACTTCAAGCTCGTTAGCTCCAATTTTTAATGATTTTCGTGGTTTCATATTTATTTCATCATACTGTTATAGACTTCAAAAGCAAATCTGTGCATTATTGCTCTATGTCAGCTTTTTTTGTGTACGACAACAGCAGCACTGACTTTAGGAATACCTCGAAGTGGAATCTCAAGATTAGTTATGAACAAGGGCATATGACTGTTTTGACAGAACCGGTGCTCCTAATATATATATGTATGTATAAGCATGGTGGCGAAAGTGGCCGTAGTGCAACCGATCAATCACAACCGATGTTTCTCTCACTATATATATATATATATATATATATATATATATATATATATAATATATATATATATATATATATATATATATATATATATATATATATATATATATATATATATATATATATATATATATGTATATAATATATATATATATATATATGTGTGTGTGTGTGTGTGTGTGTGTGTGTGTGTGTGTGTGTGTGTGTGTGTGTGTGTGTGTGTGTACGAAACAATATATATAGTCTTCTCGGGAAAATGGAGAAGTGCAAACAGAACGTAGCGTGTTTTCCAGTGTACCCCGATTTCTCTTAATTGCTTGATTGGCGCGAATTATGGATACCGAATTTTTTTCCTTGCGCCCTAGCGTTTTGTGCATGAAGGCATGATATTGGATTCAAAAGTAACAATCTGTTACTGGGACGCGCACTAAAATTATTTTTCTGCAGGCTTGTTTGCAGATTTTTTTCGCACCATCTAAATACAGCCACCATGGTCAGGAATTGACCCCGTGGTTTCAAGTGTAGTAGCTATACACTTTAGTTGCCACGAAGAAACTGCGGCTCTCTTTTCCAAGACAACAAACTTATGTCCTTTTACAGTAGCCCTATTAACCACATGAAGCAGCGGAGGTGGTCCGTGCCGCCAGTGATATGCATGCCGCACACCACAGTCAACGTCCCAACACTTTTTAGGGGTGAAGTTCCTCTTAATCTAACTTTCTCCGGTGTGTGGCGTAACCAAGAAAAGAAAAGACGAGAAACCGAGAGAACAAGAGACGAGAAAATAAAAAAAGGTTGTATCTTTCGAACAGTGTAATAGATGGTGCTGTTCCATAAAAGTACATACAAACTGCAGTTTAGTAAGGATATTCTAGGTGGCGCTGTACTGCTACTCACCGATTGGCTGCTGCGCGAGTTTTGCCAGAGTGTGCAAAAAGGAGTACCTCCCCCAGTCTCCTGGTTACTCACCGTACGTGGCGGATCGTCGGTGGGGCACGGATGAAGCAGAGCGGCGGACTAGTGAAGATCCTTGCGCTCGACTCCCTTGGTTTGCGTCTCGCCGGTGTTACCTGCACGTCATCTGCATTCTCGAATGCGATAGGACGCATGCATGGATGAGCGGACAGACAGACAAACAAACGGATGGACGCACAGGCTGATAGACACACAGACAGACCGAAAGACAGACAGACAGACAGAAAGACAGACAGACAGACAGACAGACAGACAGACAGACAGACAGACGAATGGACACATGAACGGACGCATGGATGGACGCATGTATGGACGCATGGTCCAACACACGGATGGACGGAATCACGGATGGACGCACGCATGCTTCGCCCACTCATCATCATTCACTCGGTGCATATGCTGTGTATGTTTTCATACTGCGCGCATATTCTTTAAGGTAAAGGAAATATTTTATGGTCGAAGCTCCTTAAGGTGTCATGCGTCTTCTGTATGTAGTGGCCACCTCTCATTTTAGTCCTTGGAATGTCCGCTGGATGGCGGTACTTGTATATGATGAACTTATAATGAAAAGATGTGACCTGGCGGTACTTGGAGTGTTCACTAGGTGAACGGATGAACAGACATACAGACACACAGACAAGTGTACAAATGGACGGACATGCGCACTTGTGGACGGACAGACGGGCAGATAGGCGTATGGATGGCAGGGCACAAACATACATACATACATACATACATACATACATACAAACGTACATACATACATACATACATACATACATACATACATACATACATACATACATACATACATACATACATACATACATACAAACGTACGTACATACATACATACATACATACATACATACATACATACATACATACATACATACATACATACATACATACATACATACATACATACATACATACATACATACATACATTATGCTGTGATTGTTTTTTTTCGTTGGCAGCGCGAGGCCTCAGTTTACATGTACGTACCACAGCAAGATACTAAGGCCTTCAGCTGGCCATGGTGCCCAAGTTTACCTTCACAAAGCTAGAAATAGTTGCAAATGTTCCTGATATTTACCGCAGGTTATCTTTTGGCACCATTTTGGCGACAATTCTGATATTTACAAGGCAGTACTTTTGTAAACACCAGTTTTTCAAAAAGGGTATAACGCGCTGTCGTTAAAGAACTCGTTTCACGAAAATGGCTACGTGGGCGTCATTGGTGTAAGCGAATCTTATGCGTGACCAAAAATCAAGATTAATGCAATTAATAATATAAAATCTTGCTTCGGAGTGGGGAAAGAACTCGAGTCGTTTGGGTTCGAGTGAGAATCAAATCCAGGTCGTTTGTGTGGCCAATGTTGCCAACGTTCTACCACAGAGCCACGCTGCTGCTTCGGAGTACTATGAACAGAACTTCATCTGCTTGGAAATGCAGTTAAACAATCTCTCGCACTTTACTAAAACTTGTGTCCTGTATACATGTTTCACAACACACCATGACATATAGCAGTAATACAGTACCGTCTGGCGTCAGAACGTGTTATTAACAGAATTACTTCGTAGTCTAAAGTTGGTCACTCACTACAAAAGGCACGCACGATACTGCGCCTATTCCCTTAAGGCCACGTAGTGCGTGCATGGCCCATTCGAGAAGATTTCATGTACTAAGTGTTTGAAATACGCACTAAAGACCGGATATCGCTATCACGTTCAACTCCGTGGCCCGTGTACTGTGCGATTTCAGTGCACGTTATATAACACCGGAAGGTTGAAATGTTCGAAGCCCTCCCCTACGGCGTCTGTCATAAATTAAATCGCGGTTTAGGGACGTATATAGTAAATGCGAAGCATTCTTCTGAGTACAGCAAGCACTTCGGACGTCTATCTATCTATCTATCTATCTATCTATCTATCTATCTATCTATCTATCTATCTATCTATCTATCTATCTATCTATCTATCTACCTATCTATCTGTCTCTCTGTCTATCTCTCTATCTTTCTATCTCTCTATATCTCTATCTATGTATCTAATTATCTATCCATCCACTGATGTCTGCGTACTCTCAGGATCACCCCCTTTAATTGGCGTGAACGAAATTTAGCGTGGGAGGTTAAGATGGTCTGACTGAAATTACACGCTGGTCAAGACCTGAAGAATATCACAATCCCGTCGTGTACGTCGTCATACACGTCCGACCAAGAAAAAAAGAGCGAGAGAAGCATCTTCATTGATGGCATTGTAAACTCGGTGAATTTAATTTGCCGGTAGTTCAAAGGGTTGTAGTCAAAAGCTTGCCACAACCATTTCGACCCAATTAACCATTTCCAACCAAACAGTTGCACATACCTACGGGCAGTAAGGCATTCTACCACAGAGCCACGCCATGTCTTGTAACTATTTTTCAAATATGCTCTAATGTTCGTTAAAAGTCAGTCATGCACGTGGTTGCAGTTCTACCTATACAAGTTTATTAGATTAGATCTGTACTCCCATAATACAGCGGTCACGTCGGATTATTGTTAACTGTAGTTAGCTGCAATGTGCTAAAGTTTTTTATGTAGCAGTGTCCGTGGCTACCATCCTCACGAGCACCAGCTTTTCATATCAGCTTATCGCCTCTGGTGTTGCTAATACGTATTTTCCTGTTGACATCATAGCACAAGTGCTAACAACTGGTTATATAAATATCTGCACCTCTTTAACATATTGTTACGGGTAACTTATTCAATAAATTAAATACGATGCACCGTGCTCGGCGAACAAGATGGCAACAGTTCATCAACAACCAGCCACCAACGTCATCTTTCTTTTTCTTGCAGCCAGTCTGTGCCGGCTGTGTTGTATCATAACCCCGCGGCGGTAGAAGCACCGTCCCGGTGCTTGTGCAACTCGGATGTGGTAGAAGGAGGGTGATAAGGCTTGAGTCGAGCTATGTGCATGATGTCACTCGAAGGTGACGATGATGACGTTGAATCGGCTGGAAAGATCTCGTTTGTAACGTCAGTCTCCTGGCGAACGACGCGGTATGGTCCAGTGTAGCGTGACAGCAGTTTTTCAGAAAGCCCTACACGCCGAGTGGGGGACCAGAGGAGGACAAGGGAACCTGGTGAAAAGTGCACGTTTCGATGATGGGAATCGTAGAGCTGTCTTGGGTGCTCCTGTGAGGCCTGCAGGCGGCTGCGGGTGAGTTGGCGTGCGTGGTTGGCTCGCGCGATGGCTTCGCCGGCATACTCAGTGGGTTCTCGGCCATATAGAAGATAGAATGGTGAATAGCCGGCAGTGTCGTGACGTTACGAATTATATGCGAACGTCAAAAATGGCAAATGAACGTCCCAGTCCTGGTGGTTGGCCGCTACGTATTTAGAAAGCATGTCGGTTATGGTGCGGTTGAGGCGTTCTGTAAGACAGTTCGTTTGCGGATAGTATGAAGTGGCAAACTTGTGCCTGGCAGAGCAAGAGCACAGGATTTCATCAACAACAGCTGATAGGAAGGTCGGGCCCCGGTCAGTGAGAAGTTGGCGTGGAGCTCTGTGTACTAAAATAATATCATATACCAGAAAGTCCGCTACATCGGTTGCGCAACTCATCGGAAGTGCTCGTGAGATAGCGTA